AAATATAACATCAACAACAAGCCCCTTAAAAACAATATACACACAAAAACATTATTTTTTCAGAAGAAAAGCTGATGTGGTATTATCTACACAAAAATGCCAATTTAAACGAATAATGTGTTAATAAATCACTTCGCCATCTAACAGCGGACGACAGAGCTAATGACATGTCTTTGTTATCTTCTCAACATGAATGATTTACAATTTTATATATCATCGTATTAATACCTGCTGAAATACGTGAGGTAAAACAATCACCAATATTATATAAAATACCTGCAATAGTCACCACATATTCTCAATGAATATCTTGTAAATTGGCGCAATGTAAACAACAGGAAAATGTAAAAAAAATGCAAACTCAGTTTGTTTTCTGTTCACTAGAGATAAAAGTAAGTGCACCATTTCTCACGCACCGTAGCATCGGCACAAAGAGGTATTCTACATTTACATATAAACATAATTAACTATAAATTAATTCCCTACATCAAATTAGCATGATAACAGAAACATTTCAAGCGAAACATATATGTGGTAACCGGTCGCATAACATCCAGACGTTCGAATTAAGTTTCATCCTTACAAGCATTGTTTATGTTTACAAATATAAATTTAACCAGCATGTGGAACGTTTAATAATGTATATTTAATTAGATACTTAATGAAAGGGGGGTATTCTTTATCAAGATCATTAGCTTGTACAGAGTCACTGTAACACAATTACTATGAGACTGAATGATATGTTTGTCTATAGTAATGTAAAGATGTAAACATGTACTTGTTTCTCCATCTTCACGTTTGTTATATAACAGTCAAAAGCTGAACACTTTACTTGCTTATTTGCCTTATATCAATGCAATTTGTGAATCTAATAACAAAAATCTAAAAACAACAACATGTATTATTTATTCACACAGAATATTTCTTTATCAGAAAAAGGGATAATGTTTCATTTAATGCACTCATCGTTAAATTGATGTAATTGGTATTACTAATTCATTAGTTAAACCTGAATCAATGTCATTTAATTAGCAAATTGAAACTTTCTTTAATGATATTAAATGTAAAATGTCTGTTGAAATTGCTGTGGCCTCGAAATGTCTAGACAGGAATAACCTTATTCATACGCACACGCACGCGCGCACACAAACGCTTAAGCACACACAAAACAAAACACATACAAAAGTAAGCAAAAACCATCGAATACAAAAAGCATTCATAGTAATTTATAGACTCCCTCCTTGCACCGCCCTTGCGTCTTCCCTGGTTTTGTTCGTTGCCCTTCAGGGTCATTACTGATGGACCTGCGTGACCGCATATTAGTTAAGTAGTAGCTGTTTCTTATTGCTGTTCTTTTTTGTTAAATATTTTGAGCCGCGCTATGACAAAACCAACATAGTGCGTTTGCGACCAGCATGGATCCAGACCAGCCTGGGCATCCGCGCAGTCTGATCAGGATCCATGTTGTTCGCCTACGAACTGTATAACAAGTAGAGAAACTGATAGCGAACAGCATGGATCCTGATCAGATTGCGCGGATGCGCATGCTGGTCTGGATCCATGCTGGTCGCAAACCAATTATGTTGGTTTTGTCGCGACGCGACTTTTTTGTTGATTTTAAATGATATTAACAAGCAAGACACTTCTTATATTTTACATGTTTGATGAGTGTGTGTTTTGTAGGAGTTGTTTGATTAATGAATCGTAGAAATGTTATCTATCTGTAGTGATCATACATGCTTTGATGTCTCTGTTTTCCTATACTGTTAAACACATTTAAAGGTGTTTCTTAATTCAAAACTTATACAATATCAGGATTTAATTTTGAATACGACTTAAGTCGGTGCTAGAGGGCATAAACGGTAGATTGCATTGTCCACCAAAGTCCATCAAACTGAGCATGCAATATTTTGTTACTGTTGTCCTTTTGAGAATTTAAAGGCCGTTGGTTTTATTCCCTTTTTTGTTTAACAATATATAAACTAGTGTTTTTTTATAAGCATATGTAAATAGTCAAAGTATTCAGTGTATATCTGGGACTTTATTGCTTTAACAAAGAAAATATATTATTTAGAGTGTCTGCTTGAATATGTCCTATAAGCTGCGTGTGTGGATGATAATTATCAATTAGCAGGATTTTTTTGTTATTATTTTACATGTCTAATACATCGACTAATACATTAACAACGTATAATTGCTATGACATATTAGTGTAAACAATTACTAATGAAATAAACAGGTTAATGGCCTAAACAACTGCGTGAATGAATTACAACTTATCAACGCAGTATATTATTGATGATATTTATGGATTTACAAACATTTTGATATTTATTGTGTAGTCAATGAATGATATATAGAGCAATTGGTACAGTCACGTATATATCAAACATCGGGAAACATCTGGAAACGCAACATTTTAAAGCTTTCACGGTGTTATCCTCTTGTCAAATGGTGTGTATTTGTCTTTTATTATGATATAAACCGTCATTTACCTTATACATGTAAACTTAAAATTGCCAAGATATATTACTAATTTATTTCTGATTTATACTGCATTATATTACTTAAATTAATTAATCAGTTTAATTAACAAATTAAACGTCATAATGTTGATTCGCAAATAGATGAGCAAGCAAATTACGTAATCTCTTATCGTTATATAATTTTAACATTACATTTAATTTCAATGTAAATTGAGGCGTTTCTCTATAAGGTCATTCCATGTCTTTCATTGCAAAAAATTTGATATTTTTTGCAGTCAAACATATACGTTCTTATCAGGTGTTTTCATGTTCCAGACACTTAAATGAACGATTCAAAGACAAGAAAATTTCATCTGCATTTTGAAATAGAACACAACTGAGCAGCAATGATTTGTACAACAAACGTCGAAGTCGTCTGTATTTTACATCTGACGTGCAATCAGACAAAATGGCAAACCAAAACTACACACATACCTAATATAATATAAAAGTTGGAAATTGGAATCTTAAATTTTGCCAACTATAGCCAGTGTAATATGTTGCAAGCTCAGTTTCATGTAGCCTGGACAAGTGCAGCATTACTTAGTTGGTGCCCCCGCCGAGACCCCTTTCACCGTTTTTAGGTTAATATAATGCTTACTAGGAGAAGAACATTTTGTATTTAAATAACGCATTAAAAAGTGTATGAATAACGTTATTAGAATAACGCATTAAAAAGTTAATGACCTGACATAAATGCCTGATATCTTTCAATTTGTTATACCCACATAGCATTTTCCTAGTAAAGAACTATGTCAAACTATGACATTCTGCTCTTTCTTTCCTTTCTGTCTCATTCTATTTCTAGAATATTAAGTGCTACAGTAAAACAATACTGCTTGTCAACTATACACTATGGGGAGTATTCTTTTGAAATATCTTCCACTTTTTATTAGCTGATTCATACTTACATACGCGTTGTTTATTATTAATATAAGTAGGTAATATAATCTAGTTTCTAGCAGGTGTAGGAGATGGATTACTTTCTCAATATACGTTCCATTCTAAACACTCCATCATAATTTGTAACACTGCTAATTTATATAACGTAGATTTTCCTTGTGTCATTTATTTCATCTGTAAAATAACATATCGCTGCAGTATTTGTTTATTTCTTTAGTAAATCAAATATTCAATTTTGTAATCAATTAAATGCACATTTCATAGAACAGAATTTGACAGGTTATATGACCTGTTTATATATGGTTGATTAGTATAAAATATTTAACCATTTGCAATGGTCATAAACATTCCGGATAGGAAAACTTTCTAGGGAGTAATAATATCAAAAACAATACGTCTAAAATTGCGGACCATCAGTTCTAATGATTTTGATAGCGCCAAATACAATCGAAACCGTTTTGATTTTATTTGTCCAAGGCACATTTACAAGAATTGAGATTTCATTGTTTTGGTATACTTTGAACTTTTTAAAATATCCTTTAATATGTGTTTTCAATATACTGCAGCTGTATTTCGCATTATAAATTTACAAATTTTCTATTATCCTCAGAAGATTTCACAGTCACGTTGATTACGATATTTTATTTTTGTTTTCTTTGTATGTACGTTTGTTTCGTGCGATAATTCGTATAATTACAAAGCATTATGTACCTTTTCGACACTCCTGTGGAAGGAAACTCACAGTGCTTTTTACAGAACATTTTCCTTTGTATGTAAATAATCTTTACTTAATATTTGTATCTGATTAAGTTACATGTAAAACCTGATACATTGTAATAATATTAATGAAGTTTTAGATATTAAGTCTTCATAAAAGCGAAATAGGTACATTATAGGTACATTATACTTTATACCATTACGAGCACTATACATAAGACAGTAGAAAGCGTATATTAAACGTTTCACCTAAAGGAAAGAATCTATTGAAACTGGGAACATGAAAATAGAAATCTTTCTGGTAAATATAGCTATACATCTAGAAGAAAGGAAAACAGGAATAATAACAACCGAAAAAGGCATAATTGAACATTTTGCAAGCTGGTTTGATTACGCCTGTACAATGACGGTACATCGGAACAAATATGACACGTGTACCAAGAACAAAATACTCTGGTTATAAAATGTATTTTAAACACTGCCAATGTTGATCGTCTGTGTCAAATACCCTTGTACGAAATTTGACTGGTTTGAATTAGAACAGTACATATTATTTATATAAATGATAAAAATCAGCAAAATTTATATTAATCTAAAGCCTCTTTGTTAAACATTAACAGCTAGATATCCATGATCTATCACTATACATAATTATATTCATTCTATTGTTTTATAGGCTAGAAGTTAAGGACATTTCTTAATACTGAAATAAATTGTTGTTCTTGTTGTTGTTTTTATTGATGATACTTCGTCTACGTGCATTTAGGGAAGTCAGTAAGTCCCATTGCAATCCCAAAGTTATTTCTGTCAAGTTTTTATCTTAGATCTAAATCAAGAATAAAAATAAGATATAAATAAATGATTAACAACTTTATTTATGATATAATAACCAATACAAGAGTTATTATGATTGTATCAACAGAAGAAACAACAGTAAGAGTATTTATATATACATTCCACGCCATTTTGGTATGCCCTGTCAATTAACATTATAGAGTCTTGTATGTCGCACATCTGACCATTTTATAAAATATATTTCCGAACATGAATATCACAGATTTTTAACAAAAACAGAAATACAGGAATAAAAGTATACAAAGCTTGGTCACTGTTAACAAAATATGAAGTAAACCTTTAAGGTCTTTAACATTTTCAAAATAAATGTAGAACAATACAGTGAAAAAAATATGCTTGCATGTATAAAAAAGAAAAAATTATACGACCGATAGCATATAAGATTTGACTATTTGATCGTTTGACTTATAACCAATACAAACCTTAACATTTTAGCAATGCAGATGCTGGCAATTTTCCCGGCTTTAAAAAATGCATTAATATCAAATTTTCCCAGTGAAAATAACGATCAGCAAATTTATTGTTATGCAATTTACTGTACACCCCAAATACATGGACACCCCAAACTTCCTTTACACCACTTTTTAACATACACTAGTTCGAAAATCCTTGCAGATTCCTAAAATAAGAGTATCAAATTTACAAAAATTTAGATCCTTCGAGAGAAATCAAAAACAATGCAAAAAGCTGACACTAGAAGACTCGTTGGAGTTTGCTATAAGAAACAAATATAGAACAATATCCCTCACGTCCCTAGCAACGGGTGAAAGGGTATTGTATACTCAACATTAAAAGTATTTGAATCAATGATACGCAAAAGAGTATGCCTATGCTATTTGAAAGTATTACAGCCATACAGACAAATCATGACGTTCCCTCTGTCTATTATTGATAACATATTTTCACAAATGACATGAATGCATTTAAATGGTCTAAACATTCACACACTAAAATGTTGAGTCTGTAAAACAGTTTACAGTTATACACATATACTACAATTTACTAAATACAAACAAATGTATCGCGTTTTGATTGATCAACGAAATAAAATTTAAAAAAATAATTGTTAATATGCAAAAAGAAAGACTAAATCAATCTGCCAAAGTAAAAAAAAACTTTTTTCTATCAATAAAATGTTTTGCCTTGCTAAGTAATGTATCTACATTGATGCGTATTTGATCGGTCACGGACTGTGACATACATCAAATATTCTAATTTTAAGTAAAATAATAAAGATCCTGTAAGTACATCACACTTTGTACATACATAAAATGATTACATTTGTTGATTTGCTTACTATTTCACTCGCAATTATGACACTCATACATCCCAGTTGTGTACATTGGCATGATTAAAAGGGTTTAAACTTTAAAAGAGATGTTAATACCATCTTTATGACCAATTAACTAGATTTTGAGTGCTTCGGTCCTGGACTGTTTCTACTCAACTTGCATTATATATTGATATTATTTGATATGAAATTTTCAATTAGTTTTTAAAAAAACAAATTAAATCCGTATTCAGTTTGTAGATAGGCAGACTATAATCAATACACCAATATCGTCTTTACTATATACAAAGTTCATCAAACACAGAACGGATCATACATAATTGACATGGTAAGTTATCTTTTGACTACAATAAACAGTATCATTCATCATTATACATATTTCTTTTGCAACCTGTATATTTTAGTAAATGTTACATGCTTGTATAGGTTCCTTATCACTAACGTTCCTTGTCTATTACTTAATTCACAACTCTTGTGCATGTGGAATTACTGATATAACCGCAACCTATAATCGAAAAGATCCGATAAAAAAGCAAAATATAACCAACAAAAAAGTTCCACTTCAATAGTGAATCTAAAATAGTAAATGATATCAACATTATGTGTATGCTTGTCTTTTTCATTTCATTTTTTATCCATAGCCGTGACTAGCCGAGTAGCGTCTTAAACCCACTTGCGTATGCAGGCCTTCATGTGACCTGCGTTGCCGGCCTAGTCATACCCATGACTGTGGAGTCGAATGAGAGTTTGACCTCGAATAGTATGCTGAACAATGATGGCTGTACTTATAGCCTCGCTCCTTATGCAGGAACAAATGTTTGAGTTCTTTCCTGAAGTATGCTCCAGTAATGGAGTACAGAAAAAAGTTTATACAATAGTTAATATAGAAAATTGTTCTTGTCACGTGAAATATTTCGTCAAGATCACCAATATTTGTTTCGTGATCTTTCGGTGTTAAGATTGACTGTTCAAACACCTGGTCAAACATTTGCTTGTACATCCAGTAACTTTTACACCAAATCGCAAAATATGGTAAATTCAAGGATACAAAGCAAATTGATATTGCAAGTAAAATGAAAGTAAATTCCAATCGAATTATCGATTCTTCGGTAATTATTCGTATTTTTCGATGACGCCTGTTTCTCAAAACTAGCTTCCGAATAATCAAAAGGTTCAACACAGTGATTAAAACAAATGGTATGAAAGTGATGGTGACGCCAAATATACAATCCAAAATAAATGATAGGTATCTGTGTTCTGGGTCACTTGTGCAGTGGGGATCACCGTTGACTGCCGTATATGATCCGCTAAGTATTGGCTTGAATACACAACCGGTTGAGGCAACTATTATAGCAACTAGAATTACCCTTGACGATGATTTCGGATCGCAAATATCTTTCCTTCGAAGCGGAAAACAAACTCCAATAAACCTTTCTATTGTGAAGAAGACAACAAGCCAGGAAGATAGAAATCGCGCAATATACTGTAAATATAGCATAACTTGACAGGTTCCTGGCTGTTGTAGAAAAGTTGCTGAATGATGTCCCGGAAGTGACGTAAGTCCGTGTTTTAACCATTCCGGAAGTACATAGAAGAAGAGAGCCATTAAGTCTGATGTGGAAAGTGCTGCAAGATAGATGCTCGCTGACAATTTACGCATATTTTTAGACGTAAATACAATTAAGCACAACACGTTTCCAAATATTCCGATCATAAATATTACAGGAGTGAAGTACGTGAAGAATGATTGCGCAGCTGAGGAAGTGTGTGAGATGTTACCATCTGTAATAGACCGCAGCAAGTGGCCATCCGAAGAACAATTTGTACTATTGACCGACGTTCCGTTTGTGCCATTGTTTGAACACAGGGAGAAAAATGGGTCGCTGATATTTATCTGAAAATAGAATTGATAGAAATCTATGTGAAAAGTTCATTTACTGAGACATCATGTCGTTTTGTTGCTTGATGCCTTAATATAGCTAAACAAACACGATCATTCTCGCAAAGCATACCAAAGGCTTTATCATAGACGGTTGAGTTATTCGAATTTTATGAAATGAATTCAACATCTTAAACATGTAGCATAAACATTGTCTATATTGGGAATTACAGAAGAATAGGTACTATGATAAAACATTTGGATCCGAAATATAAATATTTTGATTGTATAGAAATCCATGATATGACTGTTGTGTTTCGTTAAGCTAGCCTGTTGATATAATGCTCTAATCAAACTCCGTGGTCGAGGGGTTAGAGTCGATGACTTCTAATCCAGTTACGTTACCTCTCTGGCGTGGGTCCGATCCCCGGGAGATGCTTTGGTAGTTTAGCGCAGAGGAAGATAGTCTAGTACTGGTGTAACTCTCCAGGAACGATGGTTAGGAAACTACCCGTCTATATGACTGAAATACTGTTATGAAAAGGCGTAAAACCAAACAAACAAACAAAAACTAATCAAACTAACAATTGATATACCTTTGACTGAAGGAATCCATATTTACGTCTGAAATCGTTCATATGCTCCATCATTGAGGTCATCTTTACCTCTGCTTTGATACCTTACATGTGTAAATCTGTAATAATATAGATGTAGCATTATGGAAATAGTGTTACACACACAATCAATTATTGCACATTTTATTTTATTTCAATCGGCGAACGATCGGACATGGAATGACAAAAATACACGTCTTCCTCCGTTGCAGGCTTTGTTGTTAAAGCTGTCATTGAAAACTATGGCATATGTCATAAATGATAAGCCATTTTATAATATTAATAAAATGCATCTGCAATTTTTTGATATACATAAGCTGTCTGTCTGTGCTACATTAAAATAAGATGAGGCATTTCAAATTACCGGACAGCAGTATCCAAAAAAGAACAACCAAACCGGCAGTACTGAAAATGCTTCAGGCTTGGTATGATGGAACCCGTTCAAAGCCTGTTATCAACATTATAACCAAATAATTACAACACCAACAACACAAAACAGGTGCAATTTGAATAAGATGAAAAAACAAATCATTCAGTTAATATTTCACGCACCTTTTAACGTTATCTATTCTTTAGGAGACAAACACATTTCGAATCGTAACATTATCTTCCATTACTGTGATTTGTAACATGGCAGTAGTGCATTTGAATTGAATAAACGTCACTATAAATCAGAATATCTTATTTAAGAAACTTAAAAAATCACAGACATGTAATTGATGTCCATTACTAAAAGGAATGTAATGGTTATGGGAAATCGTTTATATTGGATAAGTACATAGAAGTAATTGCATGCAATTATAGGTTAAGGTTTTAGTTGAAGCAAACCATAACTCTATTTCGTTTCTCTTTTTGTTTATTGCATTATTTACAAAGGCATCATAATTTGTTTTTCTTACAAAAACAAAAAATAAAAAATAAATGGAAGTTATGAAATAATGCACGGAAGGGCACCCGAGGTCTCCCTCCACCATTGGAAAGTTGCCCTATGACCTATACTGTGTTGGTGCGACACAAAACCCAACGACGACGACGACAACAACAACAAAAAAGGTAAATGATGAAAATGTAAAATAAAAAAATTAAACAGTTAAAATATTAAAGTTTATTGGAAAAAAAAAACGTCATCAAATCTATCATGTTGATAATCAGATACATGTATAGATACCACGAATAAGAAACAAATTCTTAAAATTTTTAAAAATATATCAATCTCACTAAGAAAGGCTCATGTCTTGAAAATTTATATGTCTACCTGAACAAATAATATCAAATTAATTATTTCGCTATTCAAAGGTATATGTTATCTTCGTACTAATTCGGCAAACGATATCTAGTTATATTAACATTGAAGCTGTCCTTGCCACAGACACCTATTGAAACACGTAAGGAGAAATAAATTGTAAATTGATGAATTGGCACTTAGCAGTCGCTATCATTTTGTTCGAAGTTTTCAAAATGAACCATACTAACAAACAGCGTTAGCAAATTTATCAAACCAAACCTTATTCATCCAATTAACGGGCACTGGACGAATAATTTGACATAAAATAACGGAATACGTGAAAAATAAAATGCGCAACACATTGACTAATCGGCTTTCAATATGATCAAAAAGACATCAATATATGTACAGAATGCAGCCGGATTTCGGTATGTTATGCGTTACGCTTAGAATCGCAGAGTGGTCACAAGTCATATAATTGTTTTTTTTTAATCTGAAACATAAATAGAAATATAAAGTATATAAAACATGATATTTTAAGTTCTTACATAGATCAGTTAGGGCACATATACAGAACGATATACAAAGATAATTAGAAAATATACTGAGAAATAAATTTCAAATCGCGCATTTTTGTACTATTCTAAGGTTGCAATGCTTTTGCTTTTCAATTTTGGATATTTTATACAATAAGAATACTTATTCTTAAAACAGAGTGAGCGAATAATCTGGAATTTGGACACAAATTATTTGTGTGACCTTCATCAAATGAGACTTTTATCTCGAAAATTTATTTCCCGTCATGTCAAAAACCTCAGTGTAGTCACTTTAAGTATGTACAGAACCTCTGTAGTATAACTATGTAACAGTTAGATTAAATGATATTTAAGAACCAAGCAGGTATCGCATGGTTAATATACAACACGTATATAAAAACACGATTTTCCTGTCACGCATGTATAACTCATTTACTTGTCTTAGAAAAAAAATACAATTAACAAAAGTTTTACATTTACTTCGAGCATCTTACATAAATGTGATATATTCAGGTAGATAAAAAAATTATTTTGTTTAATAAACTCCTGTTCTAACACAATATTAACTGTTTTTACAAAATTAGAACCTTAATCAATTAGCGAATTACTATTTCTATTACTTAATATTATTAAAAGAAATCTGTTTGTTGAAACTGCTGCATTCAGAACTGAACAGAACATTTAAAATTGTACTGTACATGTATATAATAGCAAAGGTTAAATAATACAGTACTTTATGAATTGTTCCTGATTTTACGCCGATTTCAGCACGTATTGCGGTTTTTCCATCTGACCGCTTTTCTGGGTAACTAACCAATAATTACTAATTAGTCCACAGGTGACGACTACTTATTCTACATGACATCAGCAGATCAGTCTCAATGGAACCATTGTTATAAACAATAACTAAAACAAAGAAACATTGTCGATCTTTTTAATTTTTAAAATTAACAGGCAAAGAATTGCCTTCTGCTTTTTTTAATGTGTACATAAAGTATGAAGAGTTAAATTCATGAAAGTTAACAGTTTTTTTCAATGTGAGCTCGTTGGTGTCCCTGCTTATAATTTAAACACATGTTTGCTAGATTTTTTATGTATTCAGAGAATATTCTTATCATGTTTACATCTATCCGCTTAAGAAAAGTTAACGATTATAACAAGCAGGCGGTGAACAAGGAATTGAAATGGTAACTGATAAGTATCAAGTAGGCCAGTTTTTTGTGTGAGAATTAGGTGTTGATTATCAACAAAAACAAGGTCGTGGTGGACAAGTACCGCAATGATGTTTCGACGCTATTTAACGATTCGTATATTGTAAGACTTCATGACATAATCAAGGTGCATGTAGAAATATAGAAAAATAAGCAAAATAATTTTTGACATTATTTCCAATGATTGAAAACCTATGTGCGCGTAATATAATAATCAAAGATTAAAATCCATATATAATACATGATTAAAATATAATTAATACAACTTAAACTAACTTCAACCTAATGCAAACGAACTGATATGCGGGCAATGCAAGATATTTTAATATTAGAGTATCATAATACTTGCTTAAAGTACTACAGACATCTATTGATGTTTCTATCGAATGGAAGGCATTCACTTTGAACTTGAAGTTTTATAGTTCTTCACGGTACATACATGTACCTTTTACGTAATAATATTATTTAAAGATTATAATGTCCGACAATTACTGTACATTATAATTACTCAGTGAATATATGAACATATATTAGAAAAAAAAAACACGCTGCATAGGTTATCAATTTATAAATTAGTAATTTTAATCGGCATAGTACACTTTTCGTAAATGGTTTTATTTGACAGGCCTTGACGGTAACAATTTTTATAAAACCAAACCTAAAGGAACGCAGATTTGATGGACAGTAGCTTGCGTTAAACATTACCGTTAACGGAATTTTTATATAAACGCAAACTAAGATACCCTTAAGTACCTTAGATACCCTTATAATACTGCACGTTTGTAACGTCATTTTTCATTGGATAATCGTGACGTTTATTTAGTTTTATATACACGGCTGCTGTCGATTTATGAAGAAATCTTACATTTTTTTCTATAAAAATGATGCTTGCTGTATCATAAATTCGTTATAAAGATTGTTGACAGGTTATATGGCCGTATATAAACGGCTGTTTGCAATATAACCCTCGCATAGCGGCTCGTTTATATAGGGCCATATAATCTGTCAGCAATCTTTATAACTAATAATAGATGTGTTGTTCTTCATCCCTTCCTTGATTACTTAGTAATAAATGTGTTCATTTGGGGGCTATTATGGAACTTTTAAGGGAATATTTTCGTGTCATTCTACGGAACATGATCCGTAAGGACTGTATTTGAGTTAAAGAGACAGCAATTTTATGGCTTAAACTGAAAGATATTTAAATGAAACAACGCAATCAAAATTTATAAACACTTATTCACCATATAATTTGTTATGAAAATGTTATAAGATTAGACTGATAGTATTTCAAACCTACATTGATTTAAAATGGCATACTTTACACGACCCCAACTTTATTACGTATCAGTTATTTTAAGGCATAGTCTAAAAACAAATACATAAAAAAATAAAAAAAAAATGCGATTGTAGGTTTTTTAAGTTATTAAAATCAAAGTGGGTGTCGTTGGTTTGCGCTGCATGCCGATACCGCTGCTTCAAAAGATGTTTACTTTAAAAGATGTTTCATTATTTTGTCGCCGATTCATTTCCTAAAATACATCACAAACATCCTTATTCATTTTGCTGTGAGATCTCACATGCTGTTAACGGTAATTAAGTCTTGTTTCAGTTTTATTTGTGCACTTTATGTGTGATGAATGATAAATTACGAAAGATTTCCATATTGGCAAAAACACACAGAAGAAATCGCAATAGAGATTTTTGTTCATGATTAGCGTGTTACACTTTGTTTGACATAATGGAAAATCTTATTTAATTGTATTTGTCACACGTTAAAACTATAAAGAATACAATTAAACAAATGATAAAAACTTCATATAAAGTTCCATATTATAAGATATTTTATACACGTGATAATTGACTACATCAAATAAATAAAGCCATCGCGACTTATGAAGAAAAGATAGAGTAAATAATTATATAGTATTTAAATTTCTACATTTTCATTTGTCATAAAACGTTACTCATCCAGGGAATTTCTGGAGGGACCGGCGCTTCATTCTGAAGTTGTAATTGTGCCGTGTTATACACTGTCAGTAAAGAGCTTTGGTTTACGAAATATCACAAAAATGTTGATATGTAAATATTTTGTGAAAGTTTTTCAA